GGAAAAGAGTTTGGCTGTTTTTTAAAAAGTTAACAATTATTGTACCACCAGCCGTTCTCCTTTTAGGTGCATAACCCAAGATAACTGGAGACGTGTTCATAAAAGACTTGTAGAGCAGCTTTGTGTGCGAGGGCCAAAGCTGGAAGCCACCCAAACATCCACTGACAAGGGAACAGACATACAAAACATGGTGTAGCCATAAAAGAATGCATCTGAACAATACAAAGGGATTATCTCTTGATACACTTGACAACGCGGAAATATCTCAAAATAATTATGCCGAGTGAATAGAGCCAGATAAGAGTGCATACTGGGTGATTCCATTATATGTAATTGTAGAAAATGGAACCCATTGTAGAGTAGAAATGAGATCAGTGGTTGCCAGGATGGGGGAGAGGTAGAGAGGTGGATGGGGGCCTTTGGGGATGATGGATGTGTTCTTTCTTTCCCTGGTGGATTCACAGGTGTATACATGTGTCAAAGCTCATCACATTGTACACTTTAAATATGTGCAGTTGGTCGTATATCAGTGACACCCCAATAAAGCTGTATGTTAAAAGGTAGTGTTTAAAGAAAGGGTGACCGTTTTACTTAATTGTCTCTGGTTCACAAAGGAATGCAAATAGCAAATAACAAATAAAAAGCAAAAGAAAACAAAGCTTTCCCACATATGCGCGTTAAGCAGTGGCTCTCAGCCCTTCAGACTGGTTGTTCCCTTGAAGACAAAGCTTTTGTCACAGCTCCTTTACTGTATTTATCGAATGAGCTCAAAAAGAGTCTGGAGGCTTTGGCTAGAAATAAAAAAAAACAAAGCAAAAGAAAACAAGCTTTCCCGCATATGCGTGCTAAGCAGTGGTTCTCAGCCCTTCCGACTGGTTGTCCCTTGAAGACAAAGCTTTTGTCCCGGCTCCTTTACTGGATTTATCGAATGAGCTCAAAAAGAGCCTGGAGGCTTTGGCTAGAAATAAATGATAAAGGTTGATTTAAGGGTTTTAGGATCGGCAGACCGGGAGCACAGCTAGGCAATACCCAAGAGTGTGTTACCGGGACCCCAATGTTTCTGGGTCCGTCGGCCTGCACACACTGGTCCAAAGAAATGCATGAGCAGGAGTTCTCAGGATAGAAAGAAAAATAGTTTAATACTGAATTGGCCAGATGGGAAGCTAATGCTTGAGCCCAGATGACGTAGGGCAGAATCACCAGACATCGCAGG